ATAATTAATCAATTTAATGTAATTATTTTTATTCTTCATTATTTTAAATTGATTTAATTTATTTTCTATCTCTTTCTTTTCTTTATTATTCTGATATTTTCTATAATAGATACTTTTATATTTATTTCTTTATCTTCCAACAATGTACTTATTTCTCAATTCTAATTACTTGTTGTTATTCTGTCAAAATCACAAAAAGAAGAAGAAAAATCGAATGATAATCTTAAAATTAATTTAAAATAAAAGAATTGAAATACAATAATAAATAACAAAGAAAGAATGAAAAAAACAATAATAATAAAGTATTTTGATGGTAGTATTAAAATATTTCAATGAAATATTGAATAATTTCATTTTAATCTATTTCATTTATTTCATTATTCAATAATATTATTTCATAGTAATGAATTATTTCATACTTATAATGAATGTGAAGAAATATTTGAATATGTTTGAAGAATAAATAAAGAAATAATAATGGATGAAATAAATCATTCAATACATTTAAAAGAGAAAGAATAATTGAAAAATATTCAAATCATAGAATATACAAAATATGATAAAATATTGAAATACACTATCAATTGAAGTTAAATCAATTAAAATTGAATATCTAGAAGGTATTTATCAATCAAATGAGTTAATATTCAATTAACAATTATTGCAATAATAACTAGTTGTTTCTTCAAATATGTTTCATTAACAATCATCATTCATCACTAATTACATTATTAGATATGGATGTTTGTATAAATGTTGATGTAAAAAAGAATAAAAGAATATCATAAACATATTTTATGATTAAAATAAACAGAGTTAATGATAATTTAATTACTCACTTATTTTGAGTGTTTGATAATCATTCATTCTCATTCCTTCATTTCATCATTTTCATTTTTGCTGTTAATTATGTTATTATTAGTTTATATAAATCCACGTTGATCCACGTATACATGAATACATGAATAAGAAAATGTGAATAACAGCCAACACAACAATAAGCCAACACAACAATAAGCCAACACATCAACCATACTGAGTATTTAAAGGAACTTGAAGAAATAATTAGCATTTAGAAATAAGGTATGGATCCAAACAAATGGACAGATGCAACAGTTCAAATGTTCAAAGAATCACAAGAAAAAGCATTTGAAAGAAAGAATGCATATATCATGCCAATTCACATGATGAATGCAATTGTTGAAGAAGAGTCGAATATTATTATCCGAATAGTCGAGATGATGGGAGGTGATGTTAGTAAAATGAAGAAAGAAATACAAGAAGGAATGAATAAGATTGCAGTTCAAAATCCACCACCAGTAGAAATTGGACTTCATCCAACAACACAACAAGTGATAAGACGAGCAATAGAGAAACAAAAGACAATGGGAGATACATATCTTGCAGTTGATGTGATAGTAATGTCATTGATGGAAGAGAAAGAAATTAGTACGATAGTAGGAAATAGTGGAATTAATGTTCTGGAATTTAACAAAAAGATAATGGAAATGAGAAAAGGACAAAGTGTAGAAACAAAAGAAGCAGAGAGTCAATATGAAGCATTGAAGAAATATGGAAATGATTTAACGGCACAAGCAGAAAGTGGGAAGATGGATCCCATCATTGGAAGAGATGAAGAAATTAAACGAGTTATTCGTATTTTATCAAGACGAACGAAAAATAATCCAGTCTTA